GGCGTCAGAACAATCAGTGAGACAACTTCGTGTATATGGTCTGTTTTTATCCGCGACACAATGCTCTATGATAGACATCGTTCTATACATGGTTTCTATCTGCATCGATGATGCGATTAGGAGGAGGGATACTATGTGCGCGAGAAAGTTACGATTGCAATAAACAGGACATGGAGGAGTTGCCCACACCAAAGTGTGGTAGGTCTTTCTAATCCCTTATGATAGAACAGGACTACTAGGGGAAAAAACCCTAAAGATTCAAACTTCAGTGAATGACTTCAATTGGATTTTTGGTTCTTTGGTCAACTGCTGTTTTTCGCCGCGGCTTGTAATGGAAACCTTATCACATATCATCATTGGTATGATTTACCCCATGTCCTGGCGATGAGGAGGGCGAAGCTGCGAACTTCATTTACTCATGGCATCAGATACGTTGTTGTTGGTTGCTTCAATTTGATACGACCCCCCCATCCTGTGTGCTGGGCTAAGCCATCATTGTTTCTGTCCCGAAACTTCAATATTCCATCAAAAGAGCAGTCGTCGCCACGTTGAAATGAAGTACGCATCCACGCCCTTCCCATCTTCGGGATAAAGAGTGGTTCAATGTATTATCCTATCACACCGATATTACCTAGTAGGTAGAATCATAACAGTTTTTGAAGTGAATTTGACAAAGCAACTTGCTGAACAATTAGAAATGAAAAAACTGTGGGAGAGGGGGGGAGGGGTCGGGCGCATCCTTCGCTGTAAGTCATCGTTCTTGGAGTGCGCCGTGCATTCAACTCTTATTCAGACTTGTGGATACTTCGGAAGGTGCTTCTGCTGAAAACAGGTAGAAACGGCCTTCTATAGTGTTTTCCATCAGTTAGAGAAAAACAGCAGTTCCTTCTGAGGAGCAGATAAGAAGTGGTAATGTCTGTGCTTTTTTGAGTCCATTACTGGTACTCCTTCTTGTGCAGTGGTATAAAAGATGGAGAATCAGTACCACTCAATTATGTAAATTATTGAGCAGTTCTGAAAAATCCCTCTTTAGTTCCCGAAGCAGGCAGGATTGCGATCCCTGAGGGCAGAAACGCAGAGGAAAAAAATGCAATACTGAGAGAGTCGCGTAAAGAAGGCTGTATGTGCTTCAATAGAGGCAAATGCCATTTTGCGTACGCGCCTAGTAGTAGCCTTATAGAAGTCCACGATTTTTGCGGGGGACGGAGCTCCCCAGTCTTGGAAATCCTTCTTAAGGGAACTACGCCATGAAGTTAAGCGTATGAAATAATACTAATTCGATCACTGAAGTCCGAGGAAATATGGAGAGTGCAGTTGGGAGAAATACCCTTTTTGAGTCAAAATGAATCGTGAAAAGCTCAAACTTCTTCAAAACTTCTTTTCGGAGAAGAAACTTCCACGATGTGGCGAACCCTTCAGGCCTACTTACCGCTTGTTCTTCGCTGGTTACGGACCATCACCGAAGTGTTCTCCCAGCAACCACTTGGCAATGAGGGCAATAATCCTGGTGGGACGTCAAAGAACCGTGAACTAGTGTCGGGAAAGAGCGGGGCGTAGGTGGTCCCGTGAGTTACCGTGTGAAAACCATGTGAAATTCAAAACTCCGACACCAAAGAAAATGCGCTTGCTAATCTGTATAATGGCCTGTTTAATGGGAAATCTACCTTGTTGTTTCTGCTGCGCGTGAATAAACGTTCAAAGAAAGTAGTCGGTGTTGATCAACGTATTGACGTGTGCCCAGCATTTGTAGTTCATTAGAAATTTGATACAATAAACCCCTTACCATCACTTTTTGGAATGTAGGCAGCACATTGGCCCCTGAGGGAAGAAACGCAGAGAAAGTTTCCTCTCCTTGGGTTCTTCTGTTTCCCAAACGCGATTATGAGATTCATTTGTCCAGAATAGTTGGGGGTTCTGGCGCTTAGGTAAAAATTACTATGGTTCCTCAGAAGTCTCTTGCGGTTAATTGACTCTCTTAATATCACCCCAGGTTCTGCGTCATGTGAATATAGCGCATCTCTGACATGGGCTTCTCAGTTCCACCGTGTTGGTACAGTTCGGTTTGATAAATTAGATTTTAGCGCAGTCCGTGCACCTTTTGAAATCACTTGTGGTTTCTTTCAAGTACCTGTCAAGAGGTTCTTTTGTGTCGCTCAGATACCGCTTCACAAGAGCTCGTAGGTCTCACCTAGTGGGACCTACTAGTCAACAGTAGCAAGAATTAGCATAATATGCCCCTCCTGAGTCGAAGAACTCCTGACTGCCTATCCCAATCGACACTATGAGTGTCACCTGAGAATCCCCCGCAGTCTAATGGCTTGGGATGTCTTTGCAAACCATCTTTTGCCGGACCAATACTCAAGGTCAGCATTCTTGTAGAAAAAAGATCACCATCGTAATCCAGTGCGTACGCCCACGCACCACTAGGCTAGTAAACCTCCTTTCCTGTTTTAGTATAGAAAACGCGAATTGTGAAGGTAAAAAGTGTGGGTAGAAATTACTCATCGTGCTGGATATAGAGCTGTCCACGCCAACGGATTTAACTCGGTAGTCCTGAGAAAGGGGTTGCCCATTGGGTGCTGCTGCCGAACCCTAACTATATATTCCATCCATTTTTCCACATTTTCTTCTTTTTGCCTTGCTTTGCAGGAAGGATGCCATACTCTTTGCGAACATATAAAGGGATATGCAAATCTCGCTGATGGTCCAGCAACTCGGTGTCCGATAGAACGCATCCTTTCGATTACTCTCATTACCTTATCGTTCTCTACCACTCGCCACATCACCTTGATCATCCCAGAGATTTACGCCATCCGTCACTCTGTCACGCGTCATAAACATCTTTATCCACCACAGTACAATAGTGAAGTAACGGGGAATCGATCTCTCGAGATGCCTTCAGTCTGGCAGGATAAAAAAGTTTTAAGACTGAACGCTAACAAGGTAACCGCCAGAACAGACCAAGAAGAGATGCGAAAGTGATCTCGGTACTGCTTATCGCTCAGTTTTCAATTTTCTCGGGTAAACTAAGAATGTCAATTTGGGGGTAAACCATTGAGCTGAGGGGGTTGATGATTAGTACTAGCCTTGTGAGTGTGAGGTGCGAGTGTATCCCGCCTGAGGGCAGGTCGCTTGCCTCAGCATTTTTGTGAAAACTCGAGGATCACGAACTGCAGCGTCAAACAACAGTTATCGTAATCAAGGAGATAATCACCCTGGTGACTGATATTTATTTATAATTAATAGCTATAAATTACTCAGAAAAAGGTGGGATTTGGTGCAAAACTCTCGGCACAAGCAAATACACTCGAGGGAACTCTTTGGATCAGAAATGCAGATTGTTCATATCTTAGTGAAACATTCATATCACAGTAAGACCAGTGATGAGGATTAAGTTGCCTGAATAAGACCTCTTAAATGTCTGGTAACCACAAGGCCTCACTTATTCGTTACAAATGGACTAGAGAACCTGGTTAGTGGGCAAAATATGGCCTCATTTCTATCTACAGCCATAAATTAATTATAGATCCGTTTTGTACTAATTATGCTTTAGTTAAGTTTTTTATGCTTTGTCTTTCATGGGTAAGAAAACTTCTTAATAGCTCAGGACCATTCCAAGCGCTGAATGGGGTGAAACCGTAATACGACCTTTGAGCTTTGAATGAGAAGAACATTCGGAAACATTAATAAAATCCAACTGTTCCTCACGCGAGTATCACCTTTGGGATAAACTGCGAAAATCCAGTTAGTATTTTTCGCGAGTTTCCTTTCAATTTAATCCGATTTTTGGTAAAATTTTGTGAAATTACTGCTGAAAAAGACTTTAAAATGAGGATGATCAAAGGACAGTAAGAAGATGCGGTTGAACGGTGACAACAAATTAGTACTGTTGACAGTCGGCGTCTATCAAGGCGTAAAGATCGAGGATAACATCGTGATGTGGTATTAACGGCGTACGGAAGGTCGGCAGATTGGCGGATAGCTCCACACGGGCCCATCCACCTTTGAGAGATTACTGCACTTCGGAACCTTCAACTGACAATCCAAGGAAGTTATTCTAAATTCCATTCAAAGATCCCAGTGGTATCTTTGAATTTTCGCTAACTTGGAATATCCCTAACAGTTAGGAAGTTCCTGGCAACGCAGGCTACATGCGAATCTGCTTGAGGTATTCCTGGAACAATTCGAGCTTGTGGGCCATTAGGTTCCCGTACAAATAGAGGTCTCTACTTATTTGTGCAATAGTGAAGCCTACTTATCTGATATCCGATAGGGAGGACTGCGCATTATAGCCACGGATACCCTTCTGCACTCGGCTTTTCAGTAAGCTTCATCTGTTTCTAAGGCAGAGTCCGCGATTGGGAGCGTGGGTGGTCAGTCTAAGTTGGATTTTGGAGCGTAAGTTGCCAAGGGCTAATCAGTAAAGAGAAAATGCAAAACCGAGTAAACGCCCCTATTAGAACCCTGTTAGCCACAAGCAAATGAACAAGACGATAAGAGTACCCATTGAAACCAGTCTTGTCACCTAATTCCTTATAATGAAGCCTACGACCCAAAAATGGAACTTCTATGTCATCTCACTTGCCCGGCAACATCCGTTTCTCAAGGAAGGTGGACTCTGAAGGCTGGGTCCGGAGGCGGAGTCACTTGAAAAGAGGAGGTGACACTGAAGCCAGTTTGCAATTCAGCACTTTTACCTTGTTTTCGTCTAGAAAATGGTCCAAACTTCTTCACAGCGGACCCCACTTCCATGCCCTGGCAATCTTTTACATTTTCACATGTCACGTGTACCGTTCCCTTATATGAAATAGGAACTAAATGGCAAGCATTGCTCATTATAGCGCTTGAAAATTGCTGTAAAATGGCTACAGTAAGGTTGGTGAATGAGTGAAATGCAAGCAGGAATTTGCATGGTTTTGTTCTATGGAAACGAAAGTGACAAATATCTCTCTAGAAAGGTTCACAAATCTGAATTGATCAAAATTTTTATAACTAGTTATTTAAAATGCCCAACATGGATTCGGACAGGTCTGAATGAACGTCTGATAGATGTTCTTAGTGACTGACATAATCACTGTGTGCACTGTGGTTTTGTTGAGAAGCGGCTTTGATTTGAGTACCTGAAAAAAAACATATCTCGCGTGCTGAACAACTGACTGCAGCAGAACTTACTTGATACAATCCTTCTGCACTAGTTCTGTTTTGACCCAGCTGTCTCATGCAAGCATTGCCAGGATCACGACGATCGTCAATGAACAGTGGATTCTTAAATAAAGTAGTATCCTACCATATATAAACGGTAACGTCTGTCTGTCTGTCTGTCTGTCTGTCTGTCTGTCTGTCTGTCTGTCTGTCTGTCCGGAAATTCGGAATCACCTGAAGAGCCAGTCTGAGGGGGCGGGTCAAGGTGGGATGGGTAGGGCATGGGCCAAGATGTACGGAACACACATGAACTGAGATAAGCCCCGCCCACTGTGGGCGGGGCGTGTAATACCAACCTCACTGGAGCGTATTTTGTCCAGGTAACGCATTTTAGCGCCGAAATTATGCAATTATCCTCTAGCGAAGGTCACTGTTTTCTTATTGGAGACGTGACCTGTCCTTTACTTGGCGCATGGGCAAGTTGCCATGAGAGGAACCGATCGAGCGTTTTTTTAAACGAAGATATCATTAACTTCCCATGTAAATAGAAGAAGAACAGGTTGTTTGATCACTGTTCCTTGAACATTTGGGGCACAACATGGGGCTTTTTAGGACTAGGCCAGTTGCGCGAGGTTCCACCTAAGCTAGATCACTCACTATTCCGTAAGTCTGCGCCCTCCCCTCCCACCCTTTCAATCTCACCCTCACAGAACGCAGCCAAAAAATGTGCAGGGTCCTTGGTACGCCGTAGTTTGAAGATTCCTCAACATGGGAGAAGAGCAGGTAGCATGTCGGTAAAGTTTTCTGAGTCTTGGTTTTTTCCCGTTTCATGTGCACTATATAATCTGGTCGGAAAGAAACGCCTTACTTTCCAGATGACATTTCTCAGTGAGTAGTCGTATGTGTCCGAAAAAAAACTTTTGATGGTTGATTCCTCTTGCTTTAGGGACGCTGTGAGGGGACATCGTATTTTCCTCGTGGTTTTCACATGTGCTATACACACATCTCACCCATTTCTCTTTCCCTCTCCCCCCCCCTCGACAGCTCGCAGCTCGATGAGGAGAGAACCAGAGGGTAGGGGTCGTAATACTTATCAAGCCACCTTTTAGAGGGGAGTCATATGGATTCGACCGAAATTTTCCAACCAGTGATGTGCTCCGGTTCGAGTAGGACCGTAGGGCAGGTTGTACTCTGGGAAATATTCCCACATACCAGATTACCAGAATATCTTTGGCCTTAGCTCCCATGACTAACACAATTTTCGTCAAACTTCCCAGTACATTCGTTCACTCGTTGTCGTTAGCAGACGTGCAGCAAGCACTCTGGGCGTCTTAGGTCTTGTCGATTAGCTTAAGGCTGACCTGTAACCAATGTTCTCTTGCTGTAGACTGTCAAAGCTTAGTGCACATGAAGGATGAAACCTCCGTTTATCAATCTTTTTTGAGATGCGGCAGGCATTTTACTTTCGTTCAGGTTGTAGTACATCGGCTTAGTGAAAGCGTTATGACCCACACAATGACTTGATGATGAACAAGCTAGTGTTCTTATCCTCCAAACGAATCTGGTACCAACTTACAGTCCCTGGAGGGTAGAAGGCTTGGGTGGCCTAGGTGGAAGCCGATCCATTAATTATTCTATGATTATGATTATGATTTATTATCGGTTAGTAACACAAACAGAACAACACTGATTATATGCTTGCATCTATTCATTTGCTAAAGTTTCAGCTTTTTATTTCTGGTATTTTTTAGTGCTCATGAATTTTCGTTTAAGGTCATTACTTACCTTGTCGGGGTCGTAGTTGGTCTGTAGTACAAACCAGTCGTTGTCTCCATCGAAGAGCTTGCGTTCAAACTGGACACTCGTTGTGTTGCGAACGATGACGGAGCCCTCTCCTTAACAAAACACGTCAGCGAAGATTCCCGCAAGATTACCTCGCTCTTCACAGCAACCCTTGATAACATTTTACTTTCATTCAGGAGCGTGGTGGCTTACTGAATGCGATCCGCACTGATACTCACGAACAAAATACAGTTATAAAAAGTAAAAAGAAAAAAACGAAAAAGATGCAGAAACTTTGACTGTTTCGAGGTCTTCAATGAGGAAGGCTAGACGCACAACGAATTACCTGGCTTGTTGCCTCCCAAGATGAAGTACGCTCCAGATAGAAGTGGAACGTTGTAGATGAACTGTTGAGCTTCCTGAACGAAGTCATGGTGTAGTAGTTTATAGGCAGGGTATCACCGTATGCCGTATGTGCTTATCAACAACAAAAGTGGAGAGAATTCGTCCCTTTTCTTGTAGCCAGTAATATGTTCCTCCGTTCTTGAACTATGGGATTCGCTATTTGTGTCTATGTCTGTGCGGAGCCAGGGGTCATTCAGAAAGTTCGTATTGTGGGGGCGCCCCTTACGTTAGAACATGTAGTCTGTTCGCAGCGGATGCTGGGGCTAGTTTTGGCGCGGCACCAGTCCGTTTTCCACCAATCGTTGTCGTTTGTCCTGCTTCAACTAATGGTGGAGAAGGAGCTTTCTCCGCGCTGAACCCAGGCCTCCTGACACGCGTGACCATACNTTATCATCCCCATGATTAAGAGGACGTAAGAGGGGTGAGGTTGGAGGGCAGCCAAGGCAGCCTTTTCTACCAATTACTGTGAGATGAGGATGACATCATTGGTGGAAGAGGCCGCAGGTCGCGCTTCACTCCACGCCCCTTATTGTTAATCGCCCTCCAATTTGCAGGACTGATGACTGTATCTATTAAAGACCGCAGTGAAATGAGTCGTGACTCAGTTTTGGAGGGTAGGATCGTGAAAAATCTCTTGACGCCCATGTGGATCACCTCTCAGGACATGGTGGGCACGATGATTGACTTAAACCTAATAAGTTATTCCACTCAATTGTTGTTGGACTGGTAACAGAATCGAACAATGGTTCTGAAGTCTAAAGATTTGTCTGTACTAGGCCACAAACCCACTTGGAAGGTGTTAGCCTCTTCGAAAAGCTTTCTGTCGAAATACATAGCGAATTGGATGTCGGGACGATTCCCATGAAGCCATTGAATAACGTTGGCCAAGTCCGGCTCTACTTTGGCGTTCATTGAAAGTGAGAAAGCATTTGGTTTCATTCCTACAATATTTCTAAATGGAATAATACTAGGAATTTTATTATGTATGTAGGGCCAACCTGTGAGGATACCGACATGTCCAGCTAGAGTTGTTCCTTTGAACAGTGTGGTACCGTTACGGATGAAATTCAGATTAACAGTGACTTTCTTGAGAGAGTCAGTAAGATCCCAGGACTGGGCATCGATATTCCAAACAAACAACTGACCGAAGTCGAGATTCCTGGGAAAGTGGAATCATTTTTACTCTCCATTCTCGTTGTTAAGCCAACTTTTTTTTGGAATCGCTCGCTTTCTCATGCAAATTAAAGGTAAGGTTGTTATTATGAACTGTAAAGCCAAAAACCATATTTGGCCTCTTAGAATTTACCTCGCATGGAACATGTCCTTGTTGCCAGGTGGTTGTGCCACAATGGATGTGCAGAAACGTGACAGCTCGTAGAAGATGTTAAGAAATGCCAGCTGACCAAGGTTGACACCAATCTCATCCGCAATTCCCTGGAAGCGAAATCCTGAGTGATTTTCCCGATATATATTTAATATTAATGATAATAAATGTAATGTAATTTAATATTAATAATACATATATTTATTTATTTATTTTATTTAAATATTCATCGGCTCAATATCCTCAAAGGTGCTCTCAAAGATAAGGATAAGAAACACCCACGACAAGTAGGAAGCTGGCATAATTATAAAGTACAAAGATAACTCCCAAGACTCGAAACTGATTTCATGTGTTGACTGCTTGAACAGGTTATGTTCAGGGCACATATTTGTTGAGGATTCCCTAACAGGGAGGTCGTATTCAATCGCTGGGGGTGGGAGGGGGAGGGTCGTAATTGATCTGAGAAAATTTTCTTAATAGCTGATTTTTACTGTTCCGCTATGAAGGGAAAAAGTGGGAAGGTTTTCGGGAAATTCTGGAAAAAGTGGTAGGAACTTGGGAGAATCAAAGAAACGAAGAAAGTGGTAAGTCGGATGGGGACGGAGGGAGGGAGGGAGTGGTGTCTTACCAACCCCTTAAAAAAAGGAGGGGGGGGGTCGTCAGACTCGACTAAAATCCCCAGCCAATTATGTGCCCTGGTTATGTTTCCGTTGGGTGTGGTCCTCCGCGAGATCCTGGTCCTTACTCCAGAATACCTTAATAAATGTACTTGGTAGTCAGTTGGGTTCCTGCGGGGCGGTGTCAGGAGACGTGGAACAAGCCCCCACCCGCGCCCGGGCTTTCTTCCAATAGTGGTCGGTTCAGGTGGGAAACAACTTGTGGTAAACGCGGCTGGACTCTGTCTCCACCTGCTGACACCGCCCCAAAGGATTGCGACGACATTCTGACATTGCTCAACTATGATTATCAGTGTGGCTAACTACAATTTTTTTGGTCACTTTGTCGTAGCGCTGATGGTTCCAGCATGAAAAAAAGTACCGCCCAGTATGGTCCTCTCCCTCAACATGGAAAAGGAGCAAAATGCTTGTACGCCCAAAAAGAACTTGTAGATCGCGAAAACTGCACAGCGTTGAATATAAGCGTTTTGGACGCGCCACGCGCTCCAATTCCATTGAGAAGCACAACGTCATTTGAATTGTGTGTCACTTTTGTAGTGAATTGCGAGCGCTAGCGAAAAATATCCGGTGCTTTTTTTTCATATAGGACTGGCACTTAAGGGCTTGGAAGGTTACTTGCCAGACGCGACATCGCTGTAGAGATGCAGGGTACTTTTTAGTTTTTTAGCTAGACAGACACATGCACAGGAGGAGATGCAGGCGCAGGGAGATATAGAGAGTCGTGACATCACCAGGTTGATGAGACAGAGTCCTGGTGCGAATGCAGTGTAGGTCACTCTGCTTGCAATCGCGGCTGAAACACGCTCTATCTTCGAAACTGAGCAACTGCCCTACAAGAGTGGATGGCTTGATTGACCTCAGTGGACTTTATACGGAATCCAGTCCAGGGGAAAAGCGTGTGGAACAAGGAGCCTTGTCACTGCCCCGCTCCACCCATTCGTCCTGTGATTGTAAGATAATTTAGTATCGAAAGAGAAGAACTCCAGATGGAAAGGTCTCATCTCCCTGAAGCTTTTTTTTCGAAAATGTTCGGAATAATTGTTGAAAAATAAATGTATGACTCACTTGCACTTCGTCCTTGTATGGCTGCATAATCATTCCTTCTTCGAACACCTTTAGCATAAGATCACCGGCCAGGTCCCATACGGGAATTCCAGGGATGATAGAGAAGAAATTCTGGAAGGAATGTTGTGAGTCAACTGTCGACTCCCACAGAATAAAGCTTTCCGAGGTGCTAGGGAATAAAACTATGTGTGAATGATTATCCCCTCGCAGTGGAAGGCTTTGCTCCTGGAACAGCAACTGTTTCTGAAACTTCTATAGTAGTCAATCAGCCAAGTTTCCACATAAAGGCTATTTTACGCTTGAACCTATGAGACAGTTCCATCAATGAACTATTTCCTCTACATGGCTAGTTTGAGACAATTTTCCTCAATGCGTCTCTCAATAAAACTCTGTAACTCACCCCGAGTACGTCGAAAACAGCCTGAATTTGGTTTTTGAACGGTCGTACGACGTGCTTGAATCGCTCCTTGGCGGGTGCGTCTAGGTCGACTGTGAACCACGGTACCTAAGTGACTTCTAACGTTCAATACCAGAAATGCAGGGAAAGTCACTTGAGAATACCTCCATGGATTTAGACGGATCATAGAGATTCGCCTCTCCAACACGGCATTCCGGAGGATAGTCCGGATTTGGGACGATTCGAGCATCGCACTGGTACAGCTGAAACGAAGTGAAACACCTTCCTTTCAAAGTTTCTCAGTTACGGAGAAATGAAAAGTGGTCTTGAGTTGTTTCCCGGCCCCACAAGCGGTCAGCTCTTGGGCTTAGTTCTTGCTACAAATAAGAACCTAACTCTTGAGATCACTGTGTCGAAACTATTTTACGATAGGATACCCTCAGAGCCAACACTTTCCTGGCATCTGACAAAAATACTAAAAATTTCGAAATTTTATGTGAAGCGAACAGGTACTGTATTCCCCACGCTAGCGGAGACAAAGATGGGTGGCACGTCCTGGGCAAAGGTTTTGCAAATTACGTCCCCTCCCCCACCCTCAGAAATTTTTTTTGGACTCTACTTAGTGCCGCCCCGCTCTTCTTTCCTGAAACTCCCCCACTTATGCACCGCTTCTCGGAATTTTTTCCGTTGAAAACTTCTCCACCTTCTCCCCCAAAAAAAACCGTTGAGGTGCGAGGGGGGAAGGATATGGCCCACCTAAAAAATGAGAAAAGTTAATAACAAGAATATCTTCTCGAAATCAATGACAACTTTGCTCCTCCCAGCGTCAGCCAGTACGACCACCATACGGTATGAAATGTACTAAAAAGATGAAGTAGTGTGCTTACCACCCCAATGAACAGGACGAGCAGCGAGATGAGCATGGCGAACTAACTCGGCAGCTGGTGTTTCAGCTATCTTGTTCTCTTATCACCGCTCAGGATTCGTTAATCGCAGGTTCTTTAGGGTCTTCTTATTTTTTCGCACACTTTTAGAAAAATAATCACAAAAACTAGGTATTACAGGGCTGGGATAACCCTTGGGAGCAATGTGAAAGCATGACCGTGTGTGGGACGTTTCACCATCGCACACATACAATTTGCGGTTCCATGTTGGAACAAACCATTTTGGTATTCAACCGCTATAGGGAAGGAAGAGTGAAGTCAGACTTTTCTGGGAAGATAGAAACTCTGGTTTAAGTCCAACTGTCCTCAGAAAGTCATTAAGCGGATCATATATGTACATGTGTAGGGGTTAGGAAACCCGAAGGCACCTGCAAGAGGAACAAATCAGCGCTGAATTTTCCATTTTTTTCAGTCATTGTTAGATTCTATAATCCTGTCCGTGTCTCTCTTTAGCGTTCCTGCCGATGACGCAGGAAGATTGGGATGGTCCCAGGTGACTTAGAAACCGGCGATGATTGCTTCCATAGCAGAACCGATAAGGGCGTCATGTTTGCATTTTCCCACGGTTTTCGCTCTTGCAAGGATCCTAGATCACTACGGACAATCAACCTGAGATGTACTCGGCCCCATGTGTTTTGAAACGCTGATCTCGGATCTTCCTTACAAATCTGCCTGGTGATTTTATGTTAGTCATTTTCCAGCGAGTGTTGTCGCTTATCCGGTGGAGAGCGGGTTGCGCCAAACCCAGCCTCACTGACACGCCCCATCATCTGCAGCGAACAAGACCGTACACTCATGACCTAAAGATGGGAAGTCCATAGCTGCCTACTTCATTCGAATAAGGCGACAGCTGCGCTTCTGGAGGGATACTGCAGTTACAGTACGAATGCAGACATGAGACAAGTTATTATAACACTTGTTTCAAATGCAAATATCCCACAAGCAACTCATCTACGTCATGCTTGAGTGAAATGCACAGCCACGCCCACTCCATCGCTGGGACGTGGATTGTGCCACACGCTCGAGCACCTTCCTCTAGCGGGGGCGACGGGGCCGCCATGTCTTTGTGGGTCCACCAGTGCTCGCCTCCGACGACTATTTCACACATTTTCCACGGTACCGTTGCACGAACCTTCACCAGGTGTTGTCCACGAGCGTTGTGGCGTCACAACGCTACCTCCACATGTTTCACGGGAGACCGGTACTTTTCCGAAACTACTTCATTCAACACTATTACAACCTACAGGAAAAGTGTCTTCCCGGCTTTCCAGGCTCTGAAGACGGCGACGATGCTGAAACGTCAGCCGAATGAAGACTTCTTAACAAGTCGTCGAGCTAAATCAATCTGTTGACAGTTCCTGAAAATGATAATCTATCACTAAACTTGTTGACTTACTTAAAAAGGACGAAAAAATTGCAATTGTCATTATTCGCCAAGCATATCACTCGCTGGCCTCATATCATCAAGATCCTCCCAGTCCATTGAGTATCATTTAACCCCCGCATTCGCGTAAACAGGTTTGGTCAGTATGTTCAAGAATGAGCGGCGATCAAGTTGAGCAACGAAGCAAGCCATCACGAAGCAAAGAGGTTAGTATGAGGGTTCAGCTATTCCGTAGAAAACCAGTTGTAATTGCAAGGTTTCCTTCCAGACCGATGAGGATGGCGGTACAAAGAACCAGATTGCTGAAGCAACGAAGCAAGCCATCACAGAGCAAGGAGGTTAGTAGCAGGATTGCTTCTTTCAATAGAAAATCAGGTGTACATACGAGGTTTCTTTTCAGGTCGATGAGGAGGGCGGTACAAAGAACCGGATTGCTGAACAACGAAGCAAGCCATCACAGAGCAAGGAGGTTAGTAGCAGGATTGCTTCTTTCACCACAAAATCAGGTGTACATACGAGGTTTCTTTTCAGGTCGATGAGGAGGGCGGTTCAAAGAACCAGATTACGGGCGTACTATTTGATGATGACTCTATAAGAGCCGGATTTGTTCGTAAAGTATTTTTGCTCCTTACAGCTATGGTGCGGATTAACCTTTCGTTACTCTTTTCAAGAGTAAAAAATTTCTTGTCATTCAGCTTATCGTCAACATTGCCATGTGTGCAGCCGTTCCTCTATGCGAACCTCTTAAAGTGATCATATCAGAAAGTATTTGGATCAATATAATTGCTTTGTAGGTATTTCTTCTACCAATCATGCTCAAACCACCCTTTTAAAACAGTGCCCGCGATCAAGTGATCCGAAATGCCTCCGTGCATTTGGCATCGTTGTCCGCATTCGCAGAGAATATACCACTTTCGTCACTCAGATAAAGAAGCTAGAGACGCGTGATTATTGCAACCATTGCAACCACGATTACTTTCACTCTGCAAGACAACGGCTTACAAGCGGAATTGCGTGTGTACATAGCGTTGCCTGGAGCGTCGTAGGGTGATTTCCTGTGCTCTTGTCCAAGGCGCCGACTCCACTGCTAAGGGAGTCCCTGTTCAGAGTGTCCCCAAGATTTATTTTCGCTTCTTTCTCTACTGGGGAGTTACTTATGGGCTACTGGTTCATGATTTAGCTCCTACCCGTGACGCAGCCTACGTACCGTGAGCGCTGAGTTTCGCGGGAAGTGTCTTTAATTGTGCGTACGCTTAGCTGCAAGATAAATCCTTACTGAATGCTGTAGAAGTGGCGGCCATGACTATAGGCCCGTACCTGCTACATTTGTACCGACTTTTATCAGCGCAGAAATGAAAGCAAATGAGGCTGGTGGGTTGTGAACACTGGATACCGTTCCGGATCCACCACTCACTCTCCGCAACCTTCGACCTGTGCGTCAGTGGTGAGGTCTCGCAGCGAACAACATGAACGGAAGTCGCTCACCGCGGTCGAACGTAGAGAGCAATGAAATATGAGAGGAAGCCAACAACTAGTGCATTGAGCCATAGTTAGGCGTTTTTTATGGTTGTGCGGCACGTTACGTTTGCATGCTTCCTATGTGAATGGTCCAAAACGGCACATAGCTATCTCTACTCTTCAGCCTTAATGCAGCACACCTTCGGGCAGCAAAAATGGCCTATTTCTATGACTGCCGACCCATTCCCTTCACTTATGGCAAGAATCAGAAGGTTGGAGAAGTATGGGGGGGGGGGGGGAGGAGTTCCTCCACGAGAAGCATACGTCAATCTGTGCTAGCGTAGTTGGAAGAACAATAAGCTCTTTGCGGAACAGTGCAAACGAGCAAAATATGAAAGTGAAATGCACGCGCAGCCTTCTACCGCCCTGAGTCCACTGAATAACTTTCGTCTCTTTGTCACGTGGGGATGATAGGAGGGTAGTCGAGGTAAGAAAAACGGCGTAACGGGTTAAAGGCAAGTGGCACGACAATTTTCCAAGACGTGTAGGATTAATACGCCTTGTGGGACAGAACTCGGCGTCCCTGAACAAACGCTGTGTGGCGCCTTTTCCAAGGAAGGTACCTTATAGCGCCCTATCAAGCTGCAACATACCGACCCGGACGCCCACCGCGCCCGCCCGCCCACAAATGGACGAGATACTCGTATCGCTTCATTTGCGAAGTACAATATGAAGCGAAGGGATTGATATGAAGCGGCTGCGGTGCTGCATGGATATATGAATACATACATGCAGCCGTATCTACCGTAGCGGTTATTGGCACGATGCCAGCGGGAAACTCGTTAAAAATTGCTTTCCGAGTCGTGAGGAACAAATGCTTTTTCCGCAGGTTTAGGCCCGTTTCGATTCGTTTTTTCGCCACTTTCCCTCTATATAGCAACCCTGCTCAGGGCACGCCATCGCGTTGTGATCATTTCCTGAAAAATACGACCCCCTAATTCCGTCCTCAAATACGACGACCCCCCCCCCCTCCCCATGCTACCTACCACTTTCCTAGATTTTCCATTTTTTCCTCAGGAAATTTCCAGTTTTTCAGCCAAGGGGAATATATACCGAATGTGAAACCGAAAAATTTTTTTCTCAGATTTTCCCCACTTTTTCCGAAGTTTCCCGAAATTTCTGGTTTTTCCCCAAAATTTTGCTGTCGGG